GCACTAGGAAGACAGGCAGGCGGGATCTCTGTGAGTGCAAGGCCAGCCTGATCTACAAATTGCGTTCCAGGACAGCCAGGGCTACACAGAGAAATGCTGTCTTGAAGCCCCCTCCCCACCAAAAACAATTGTTTTATTCATATAATTACTTTTTTCAGGTGCCTGAATGAACCTTCTGGTACTGAATTTCTCCTTCCCCTATTTTGCATATTCTTCTATTAATAAAATATGAACTATATCTATCTATAGTTATCTATATCTATCTACCTATCTATCTATATTATAGATATAGATATCCACTTTTTAGACTATTAGTAAGACCATGTACCACCACTTACAATGTCACGTTGAGACCCAAGCATTCCAAACAAAGCCTGGGAGATAAAACTATCTGTATCTGAACAGTCAAATGCACAGACCACATAGCTGGTAAAGTGACCAACCTTGTAAAAGTGAAAAATACAAGTCTGCTGCGTTCTTCATCGTTTCCGGGTTACAGCTCAAATCAGTGAACAACTCGAGGAGCCGAGTCCTGGATGATCTCAAATCACTAACATCAACAGACAGGAAAGCTAAGTAAGCTGTGTTTCAAAGACTACATAAAAACAGTTCAGAGGCTACAACTTAAAAGTATTAAAACAATACCACAGATCCCCTGATTCCTTCTTTATGAAGTACCAATCCCAAGGAATAAATTTAATTAGGGTCAATGTTAGAAATAAATGAAGTTTCTATTAACAATTGCTTCAAAAGTTATACGAAAATAAACTCAGTCTAATTAAAGGGGCAATGCAAGCACCCAATTATACAATAAAAATATATAGCAAGTTTTAAAAGCAAAAATATCAACCAGGTATGGCAACACAAACCTGTAATGTAGTGCTCAGGAGGTGGGAGAGGAGAGGAACCCTTAGCTACAGAGCCGAGGCAAGGCTGAGGCAGCTCGGGCTAGCTGAGACCCTGTCTCCATCAACATAAATAACAACTGAATGGATTTAAAATTCATTCTTCCTTCTCTGTGTGTGTATGTGTGTGTGTGTGTGTGTGCTGACAGGGTTTCTTTGTGTAGCCTTGGCTGTCCTGTAACTAGCTGTGTAGACCAGCTGGCGCTGAACTCACCTGCTTCTGCCTCCTGAGTGCTGGGATTAAAGGCATGTGGCATCACTTGGCTCACTTTTCATTCTTTAGCCAATAGTTTCGGGGGAAACAGAAATTTAATGTACTTGTGTATCATTTTAATAACTATTTTGATTCCTAAATTTGGCACTCCACACAAAACATCTAACATATACTGTATGAATAAATATACATCCAGAAGATGTGAAACTGGATGGCCAAGGTGCCCCACACGCCATTCTTCTCCGACTTTCCCTCTTGGTGACAGTGTGTACTACAGTTCCAGGATGCTCCTCCCCATGCAACACTTCTTCTCTATGTCCCCAGTTCTCTCCCACACATAAAAAGGCCAGTCTTTGGCCTTCTGCTTGTCTCTTCTGAGAACTCACATCTTCAATGACTACCTCTCCTAGATCTGCAGCATCTAATCTGCATCCACGTGTAATCCGGGAAGCCATGAGAGTTCCAGAAATCACATTTAATGGGCATTGACTTAAGACCTTTAAAATAGGTTTAAGTTGCTGAAGAGTAAATTTAAACTATAGACACATAGAATGCATGATATATAATACATACTCTGAATATTTTCAAAGTCATTTGTAAATTTTCTCACTCTAAATACATGTTAGTGTGTGCGTGTGCACACACATGCAAATATTCATGCCTGGGCATATAAGGAAGTCAGGGGTTGGATGTCTGGGTCTCTCATCGAACCCAGAACTTTCCATTTCATCTAAACTTGCTGGCCGACTCTAAGATCTGCCTGTCTCCACATCTTGTGCTCAGTGCTAGGGTTCAGAGGTGTGCCATCCTGACCATTTTTTATGTGGATGTTAGGGAACTCAGGTCTCATGCTCATGCCTAAATTACCTATTTCTAAGGCATGCTTTTCTCAAGTTGTATAACTTTAAGATGAATTTAACTTTGGGCATGTTGAACTTTGGGTGACCACATGAGCGCCTGCATGCGTGTCTGAGACACACACACACGGAGCAGAAACAAAAGAAACAGTGGACCTAACATAGTGGGTAGAGTTTGCCAACTCCTGATACAAGTTAAACAATTTATGCGACCCTCAGCTCAAGTCCTTTCTCCTACATCACTACTTTGAAGGCCACTTCAAACCATAGCAATCTCTCCCTGCTTGGAATATTAATAATTTACTGTCTGGCCCATTAACAATACTTTTTTTTTCCGTTTGTTTGTTTTTTTGGAGACAGGGCTTCTCTGTATAGCTTTGGAGCCTGTCCTGGAACTTACTCTGTAGACCAGCCTGGTCTCAAACTCATAGAGATCTGCTTGCCTCGGCCTCCTGAGCGCTGAGATTAAAGGCGTGCACTAGCACACCCTGCTAACAATACTCATATCTTATCTTATGGCTCTGTTGAAATACATAGTTTAACTTTGTTACTGCTTTAACCCTTCTGGGACTCATTTACTGATCTAAGATTAAGTATGTGGCCCTGATGCCTAAAAAAGCTTAAATATCCCACGATTTAATCTTCATCTGTTGATGATAAAATAGAAATTTATCATGAGTTCAATGTTAGAAATGTGTCACACATTTCTATATTGACCATATAGATCAGTCCCTTGAAGCCTGCCCAACCAACACTGCTTAAGTTAAACTAACCGCTTACTTGCAAATCTTCGAAGCAGGAGGACCAGTGATCATGCCATAGTAGTTAAAAGACACGGGAGCTGTAGCTTTTAAAGGGTTCCTATGAAACCAATGTGTCATTTTCTCAAGATGTGTTCTACAGGCTGAAGAGACATAAAAATTGAAGAAACATTAAGTCAGAAAAAGACACAGTAAAAACTGGCTATTTTACAAGGTGTATAAACTTTATGCATAAGCTATTATACAGAAAATATACATATATAAGCATAATACACCACAAATAGATTTTGTCTTAAATTGAGTCTATAATTAGGTTATGTATAAGAAAATTAAGAACTCTGTGAGTCTGGCTAAAATGTGTTCTCACCAGTCTGGGAGAGAAGCTGAGACGCCGGTAGGGCTCCAGACTACACTTCTGAGAAGCAAAGCCGAGACTTGGTTGGATAGCTTCAAACAATAGGACCTAATGAGTCTCATTTCCTTAACACAGTCAAACGGATCCCCCCATAAACACTAAGTCTTCTGGAAATAAATAAGCTTCATATTCATTTCATTTTCCACATATTTCTGGTGCTAAAGGACCTTGGTGGATACCTTGTGTTCTGCAATCAATTGATTGGGTGTTAAACTGCTAGGACTATTTTTATAAGAAAATGTAAATTGTACAAAAACATTTGAAAAGCTTCCTCAATAAAATGTCAACCTAAAAAATGTAGCATAAAGAAAAAAAGCAGCACTGTTTTTTTTTTGTTTTGTTTTGCCTAAAAGTTCCTGGGTAGGGAATGCATTTAGTAACACAAGAAGGCTTCAAGCTGAATTCTCAAACATCTCATTAGATTCCAGAAGAAACACAGAAGCAATTCTGATAAGACAAATGCAATTTAAAGGCATTGTGCAGGTTTTCAATCCACCTTTATTGGGGGAAAAAGTGTGTGGAAGGATGCAGTGTTCTGAAATATCAACATTATGCATCACTCGGGTTAGACCCACTCATGACAAAACCGGTTTTGGGAAGCACCCGATAGTTAGTGAACAGAGAGAATGAATTTTATACTCAGGGGATACCTGGGCAGATCCACTTAGGACTCAAAACACTGAATATGCCCCTTCAGAACATATTACCAAAACAGCGTCTATACATAACACCTTCAAAACCTACGCAAACGCAGCACTAAGTGCGCCTACCATACTCTAAGAAAATTTTGAAAAAAAAAAAAAAATCCGCGACTGTTCCTGCTCCATCCTTCAAACACTCGGGTGACCTGGCACTTTTTGGGTCTCCAGACCTCGGAGGGTGGGGTCGAAGAACGACACACCCATCCCTCAGGAGCCTGCAGAGCCCCAAGTACAATCCCGAAAACAGAAGGTCACCTGCCAGACCTCCGGAGCTCCCCGGAGCCTACCTGCGGTCTAGACACTGCTCGCGCCCACTTCCTGTTTACCGCCCGGCCTCTTCCTCCGGGTGTTACCGAGTCAGGGGCCGCGACCCCACACACCCGCCTCCTGACTCGCGATCGGCTCTTAGGGTAGCACAGCGATCCTGTCAACCTCGGAAGGCCAAGCAGATGATAGCCAAGCCACGGTTCTGTGTCTAGCAACCCCTCTAACATCCAAAGGGGACGCCGAGCGGGGAGAGTCGGCCGATCTAGCTATTAATCCATCGATTCCTTCACTGTCTACCACCCAAGGGGCCATAGAAGCTCCCGTGAAGGGGGTGACCCTCCCACTGGAGTGCAGGGCCTCGAGGGGAGAGAGAGCACGGGCTCACACGCCTCATGACAAGCTTACCGGGGACTTCAGAGTCTGTCCGCCACTCTTCCTGCTGGAGGAAAGGGCAGGCAGGACCGGAGTCCGCCAGCGAGACAAGGAAGGCGCCGGTAGCACCGAGACGACAGGGCTAGAGAAGCCGGAAGCGGGGCCAGCCGCTAGGAAGCGTCACGTGACTGGAGACCGTGACAGCCGCAGGGGCGGCCGTGCATGTCTCAGAGGGGCGGTTCCGCCGCGTTGTGGCGGCCCCTGGGCTCGCTGCGTCTGCCCGCCCTTTTGTTTTCTCTTACCTCTCCAGATCCTGTCTGGGCCCTAGAGAGGGGGGCTGTGGCGGAGGTGGGGTGGGGTGTCCCCCGAGCCAAGGCCGGAAGCCGCCGTAGCGATGGCCTCGGCGGGTCGGGGCGGCCTCAACCTAACTGGGGCGTGGCTTAGGGGGCGTGGCCTCGGCGGGGCGGCCGCCTAGGAGCCGCAAAGTTTGGCTGTGGCGGCAAATGGGTTTGGGCGGCTCCTCGGCGTGTGGCGGTGGTGGCCTTAGCGGTTCCTCCCGGCCCTGTTAATGCCAGGGCCAAGCCCGGGGAGGATGGCGCCCTAGAGCCCGGCCTTGCTGGGGTAGGGGCGGGAGGGGGCCGGGGCGGGGACCGGCCATGTCGGAGGTGACCCGGAGTCTGCTGCAGCGCTGGGGCGCCAGTCTTAGGAGAGGCGCCGACTTCGACTCTTGGGGCCAGCTGGTGGAGGCGATAGATGAGTATCAGATGTGAGTGACTAACCGCGGGAACGGGCCAGGCAGGTCGCCACCCCTTGTTTCTGCCCAGGTCTCGCATCACTGTGTCCCGCAGCGCAGGCTTCTTGGGGTGCCCCCCCGCAAGCATTAGGGCTGAGATCCGGCTGCTCGGGGACCCCCCCGTCCGCCCTCCGGGGAAGCTCTCTCCTTGTCCCTCTTCTGCACAGGGCCGGGTCCATTCAACAGGTAGCTGGGGCCCTCGCTGGCTCTCTCCTTCGTTCCCTTGGTAGTCTCCTTTCCTTCCCGCCGCCTCTCCCAGGTTGCCACCCCTCCAGGGGAAACAAAAATCTTCGAAAATGCCCAGGGAATACTTGTGTGCTCTCCGCCCACGTTCCGGGGATGAGTGGCCTTGTTTTGCGTGTGTGTGTCTTGCACTCTCCACGTGTAGGAGAGGAGGGATGTGCTAGGGCGGGAGTGGAGGTTGTCCCCGGGAAGGGGAAGGGATGCCTCTCCTGCCACGAGAAGGGTCCCTGCTTGCCCCTCGCCCTCCTTCTCCACCCCTCGGTCTGGTGAGCGGTGTTTTCTCAATTCCTACTCAATTTCGTTTTCGATTTCTGGGACTGTTATTTGCTAGGCTGTGAGTCCCACCCACCCTCTCGCTTGGCTGCTTTGGGTGGAGTCCGCGCAGGATGTGAATAGAGGGGAGCAAAATGTGAATAGACCAGGCCCAGGAGCCGCCACTCCCTCCGTGGGTCCCTCCCCCTTTTCCTGTGTACATTGTATAGCCTCAGGGTACAAGTGAGGACTGGTTTCCTTCACCCACCTAGAGTCTCATCTTTTTCTGGTTCTTCCACTTAAGCTTTAGACACTTAGAAAATTTGTATAAACATCTTGGTTAGTTTCTTGGACGAAGAAACTGCTCATTAAATGCTATTGTTTGCGAACTGTTATTTAATTCTCGGTTTTAAAATAAATTCTTTGATGTTTCTCGAATTTTGAGACCATCCCCTTCGCTTTTTCTGGAAAGAATACAAGCTTGATACTTGGGAGAATCAAAACTCCTATCCTTTCCCAACAATAGCCACTTGTTTTTGGCTAGTCCATGACATAATTTGGATATATAGGTGTTCTCTGCCGGTCTTAACTGACAGATCGTCTATAAATTCAAAAATGTAGTGCTCTGGGTGTTTTGCTATGGACAACTACTAACATGTATTTGAACTCCCAAGTGATTTCATTTGTTTTTGTAACTGCCCACTAGACATAGAATTCTTTTTCTTTTTAACAAAATTTAAAAAACTGGGTTCACAATATGATACCTTTGAAATCTGGGGGGTGGGGGTTTCTAATTTCAGTCCCTTTCTGCTGATATTTAAATTAACAATAAATTGCTTTGTTTGATTAAAACATTGACAGACAAATTCTGTAAACAAATTTCAAGAGTCCTTCCATTGTTGCAGAATGCACTCTTCTGTACCTTGATTGGGTAGCCCGCGAGGGTTTGTGTGTGTCACCATCTATAATAATTAAAGTGGCCTGAAATGCAAAGCTGCCTCTTGCTTGTGATGCAGTGAACCTAGCAGCTGTTGGGACTGGGCAGCAAACCTTCCAATGGAAAGTGAAGAATGCCATGTCTAATTGGAATTACAAAGGAAAATTGAATATGCAGGCTGCTTAGTGGGAATGAGAGTAACAGGCACATGCAGATCCTTTGTTGAGTCTCCACACTGGCCACTGTACTGGAGAGCTGCAGAGTACTATACTCTCCAGTTCTTATAAAACGGCACTGTCAGAGTCCAACAGAAATGTAGTGACTGGGCAAACTTTGTAACATTCAGGCTATGCATAAATGAGGCCAAGAATTTAAGTCTTCCTAATCTACCAGAAATAGAAACAAGTTGCCTTTTCTTATTTTTGAACACACTTTTTTGGAAGGAAAGACCAAAGCCAAGGAGGCCAATCGAGGACCGTGATAATAATGTGAACAATTAGTCACTGGCTGGATATCAAGAATTAAGGGAGAAGTCGGAGATAATTGGGGTTTTTAACTGGGAAGCCATACTGTCTTCATAGTCATACAACGTATGGAGGCTGGTTTATGGAGGAAATGTTGGAGGCATAGTATATGTACTTTCACTTTAAGAATACTGTATTTTGTTTTTAAGTTTTATTATATGTATGAGTGTTCTGCCTGGATGTATTTTTGCACACAAAATGTGTGCCTGGTGCCTTTGTATGGAAGTCAAAGAAAACTAGCAGGATCCAGTTCTGGCCTTCCCGGGGACTGACTCAGGTCATCGAGCAGTTTACCTCCTGAGCCATCTCACCTGCCTGTTAGCAGTAGGGTTTTTTTGTTTTGTTTTGTTTGGTTTTGGTTTTGGTTTTGGTTTTTTTCTTGTATCTGCAGAGTATCAGCCGGGAACTGGTGGAGAGAAATCCTGGTTCTTTGCTACAGATGGATGAGACACACTAATTTCTGTCTGTAGCGATGAGGTTCCTGTCAGTCACTTATGTGCTCCAGGTATATTTAAGACACATCCTAAGAGCAGTCCTGTTTTACTTGTAGGCACCATTGTAGGATGAGATGAGACCCTAGAGAACTTTTAAAGGTTTATTTGTGTTTATGTGAGTTATGTGCACTTGTGTGTGCAGTGGACGTTCTCCATCACTCAACTTTCCTTCTGAGAGGCCTCCCTGGATGTTCTCTGCTAGACTGAAAGCTATCCAGCCTCGGTGATCTTCCTGTCTCTGCTTTCTTGGTGCTGGTTATACAGGTGTGCTAGGGACTCCTGGTTAGTGATGTGGGTGCCAGGGTTACAGGTGTGCTGGGGACTCCTGGCTAGTGGTGTGGGTGCCGGGGGTACAGGTGTGCCAGGCATGCCTGGCTAGTGATGTGGGTGCTGGCGTTCAAGCCCCAGTTGTCAGGATTGTGCAGCAAGTGTTCTTAACTGTGGAACCATTTCTCCAGCCCCTAGAGAAGACTACTGAACTATTTTCTTCCCATTGCTCATAACCAGTTTTTTCGTTCGTTCATCTGATTCTCCAGAGCATGTAGCTTTTCCTTCAGTGCACAGAATCAGGTCTCACCTTTCCTGTGAATTTCCATTCACATGAAAATTTGAGTTTATGTATTTAAAAGATTAAAGTATTTTTGCCTGACTTTTAAAACATTAAAAAGAGAGATAGAGAGTTTTTGTTGCCATTTGTTTTTTTAACTCCCAGTACTTGGGAGTCAGGCAGGCAAGTTAGAGTCTAGAATTTTCTACATAGCCAGTTCCAGGCCACCCATGGAGGACTACAAGTTGAGACCCCGATTCCAAAGACAAACAACACCACCATCACCAACAAAAACTATTGAGGTATAACTTGTACACCACAAACTGACACGTTTTGCATGTCCCAGCTGTGCAGTTGTCCCCACACCGCATTCGGGCCACCCCCTCCAAAGATCCCTTGTGCTCACTTGCATTCATGCCACATTCTTGACCCTCAGACAACCACTTACCTATGTTTTGTCTTCATAATGTCTTTCCTGGACATTTTGTGTAATAATTACCTAATGATGATTTTTAGCATAATATTTAAGATTCATTTAGCTTGTCTCACTTTTTGCTAGTGAGCAAAAATGTTACATTGTATAGGTGCATCACATTTCATGACCCTACTCAACTAATTAATGGACATTCAAGTTTTGATTATTATCAGCAATGCTGCTTTAACATTTACAGCAATTCTTTTTCAAAATTAAATTTTATTTTTAACTATGTGTGTTGGGGGGTGTACACACATGTGTGCAGGTGTCTGAAGTTGGGAGACCAGAAGTTTGGGTCTCTTGGAGTTACAGGCACTTGTGAGCTGCCTGACATGGATGTTGGAAACCGAGCTCAGGTTCTCTGTAAGAGCAGTGTACACTCTTAATCACTGAGCCACCTCACCAGCCCAGGTAATTCCTTATGTGGACATGCATTTCCATTCCTTTTGAGGAGATAGATACCAATGAGGGGAATTGCTGGGTCTGGTGTTAGATGTGTGACTTTAAAGGAAACCGGTTGCGCCACTGCCCAGAATATGGATGCCATTTCATGTTTCTGCCAGCAGTGGAAGGGTTTTTCTCATGTAGCTAGCATGTGTTCCTGTCTAATTACATCCCTTCTGGAGGGCATATAACACACTCCACTGTGGCTTTAATTTACATTTCACAAATGACTCGTGGTGTTGAGTGTTTTTTTCATACTTATTTTCTTTCTGTAAGTTTCTGTGTACCTTCCAGATCTTTTCTGCATCTTTTAAAAAATTGAATTACCTTGCACACATAAAGTTCTAAAGGTTCTTTATATATTCTGGATGTAAGTTCTTTATTTTTGTAATATGTCTTCCTGGTCTGTTGTCTACCTTTTGTACATGAGATTCTCTTTGAATTTAGTGTCTTTTCTATTGTTTGTTAGTATCTGAACAAGAATTTCAAGCTGTGTTTTTTCTTCTGGTGGTCACCCTGCTTGACCTAATAACCACAATTGGCAAATTATGTGTAGACTTACTTAGATTGAGCAACTGTGTCACAGTGTGATGCCCCTAAATTCAAGAGGCGTCACGTATAAATTTATATCGTATAAATTCAGCATATAGTTGATTTATAATCCTATAAGCTGCATTTCTAGGAAGTACTTCATACCAATCAGCATGAGTCCTGAACAAGGAAAATGGCCATATTAGTCCTTGAAAGTCTTCAAGTAGCATTTAGGGAGAAAATATATTCCCAGCTTTGGGAGAAAATAAATCAATAGGTAGAAGCAACTGCTCATCATTTTTTGTCTCAATGGGTTTATTATTATGGACTTTTCATTTGTGTGGAATCATTGCCATTTAATGCGGGTTCTTTCATTTAGCATATTTTTAAAGTTCATATTATAACATGTTATCATAATTTCAGCCCTCTTTATGACTGAATAATATTTTTAAAAATTTTATGTGTATAGGTGTTTTGTCTGTATGTATGTGTGCCACATGTGTGCCTGGTATAAGAGTATTTTGGACCCCCTGGGACTGGAATTACAGATGGTTGGGAATTATTATGTGTTGGGAGTTGAACCTGGTTGCTCTGCAGGAGCAACCTGTGCTCTTAACTGCTGAGGTATTTTTTTAGTCCCAGTGAAAAATCTTTTATGCTGGGTGTTGGTGCACTCCTTTAATCCCAGCACTCAGAAAGCAGAGTCAAGTGACTCTCTGAGTTTGAGGTCATCCTGGTCCACAGAGCGAGTCCCAGGACAGCCAGAGATACACAGAGAAACCTTGTCTCAAAAAACAAAAAACAAACAGAAAAGAAAGAAGGCGGTTCATGAATGGGAATAGCATGTTTTATTTATTCACTCATTAGTGAGCATTTCAGTTGTTCCCACTTTTTGGTGATTATGAATAATGCATGTGTGTACAAGGATTTCATGTGAACATATATTTTGAGATTTTTGGATGTATACCTTGTATGAAATTGCTAGGTCTTTAAGTCTGTAGTTAATTACTTGACAAACTTCTCCCTATGATTGGTACCGTTTCTGTGTTTTTACCTGCAGGGTATGAGGATCCTGCTTTTGTCCGTCCTCTTCAACACCTGTTATTTTCTCCCTTTGTTTTATGTTTTAAATCATAGCCATCTTTGGCAGTGAAGGGGTAGCTTGTCATTTGGTAAGCGTTTTCTTATGACTAATGATTTGAATCTTTTTGTCTTCTTAATGGCCATTTTTATATTTCTCAAGAACCCTCTCCCTACCCCCATGTGTGTGAAAGAGAGAGTTTTAAGTGTTGGTACTTTTTGCTTTACTCTTTAACATATAGGTTTGATCCTTACTGTTGAACGTGGAGTAGAAACATTGATTCACCCTTGAAAACTCTCAGTCAGCCTGCTGTTTACATATATATGTATACCCTGTGTGTGGAGGTCAGAGGACAACTTGAGGAAGTGGTTCCCTCTTTGTATCATGTGGGCCCTGGGGATCAAATCTGGGTCATCAGGCTTTGAGGCAGACACTGAGTCTTCTCACCAGCCCATAGCTGCCATTTTAAAAATAGGATAATTGGGTAATCAGTGATTTCTATTTATGAATGGTGGAATTTTCTTTTCTCCGAAAACAATTACCTTCAAAAACGGATTTTGATAGAGTATTCCCACTTTGTCATGGATGTAATTTGATTTTGGACTAACCAGCAAATCAATAATAAGTAGATTGATAAAAAATATCTGTAGCTAGTAGAGCAGTTAGAGCTCAGCAGTAGAGTCTAAGTTGAATCTGGGTAGTTACAGAGGAGTCTGTTCAGGTCAGGGAGGGCTGGATTCCACGCCCTAGGAGACACCCCCCCCCAGCCCTATCATTCTGCTTTTGCTCTCCTAGCTGAGGTTCTACCCAGTGACGTGGTGTGAAAAGTATTGTAGCACATTCAGAGTGCTTCTAAGGCTGAAGAAGACTGACATGATCACAACAAAGCATGGTGCTTCATTGTTTTTAAAAGATTAACCTGTATCATCTTGCTGCTGTTAAAAATAGCTTGCTCACTTTCAGTTCTGAATAATGTTTTCTTCTTATAGATTAGCAAGACACCTACAGAAGGAGGCCCAAGCTCAACACAATAATTCTGAATTCACTGAAGAGCAAAAGGTACCGTAAAACAGTCTCTGGTGCATCTGATTACAAATAAAAAGGAAAGGGTTTCTATCTTTTCAGTCCAGTAAGCAAGATACACCACACACACACACACACACACACACATGCATGCTCTTCTGTCTCTGTCTCTCTCAAGCTTAAGTTAAAAACAAAACAAACAAACAAAAAACAATTGATTGTGTTTTGCCTGATAGTAAGTGGTCATTTGGAGATGACCTACCATTTATTTAGTCAGCCATTCTCACTTTAAATAAGGTGGGGAAACCTAGACTGTACTACAGTCACCTGGGGAAGCAAGGTTATGAATAATTACATCCCACTTCACACTTAATTCTTTCTCTCAAAATAAGCCAGTGAGCACCTCACAACCCCCAAATTAAACCAAAACCAAATAACAAAAAGTGTAAGACTAAAAAGAAAATAGGACAGATTAAGAATTATCTGGCCTCTTACCCAGGTAATGATGGTGCTCACCATAAATCCCAGCAGTTGGGAGGGCAGATGTAGCATGAGTAATAAAAACCCAGAGACAGATATTGAGTTCAAGCTGAAGATCAGAAAAGCAAAACAGCCAGTCACTAGAGAAATCTGACCTCTACCAAGGCTCAGACAAACATAGGGACGATCCTGCAATGCTCTCCACCAACCTCAGATTCCACCCTCCACTGAGTTCCTGTCTCTTCCCCTTTATATTCCTCTCTCTGCCCAGCCAAATATTGCTCCTGTCTCCACCTCCCTAGTGCTGGGATTATAGGCGTGTGATCCCAAATGCTAGGATCACCTTTGTGTGAGTTCTGTTTCTCTTTTAGACGAACAGAAACAGAACTCACTGGGCCCAGATGTCTTTATGAGATGAGGGATTAGAGTCCTGCAGGACCTTGAAAGACACTCTGTCCCTAAAGCTCTAATAGCTTTACCTAGGAGGTTTCACTTTATCCCTGGATGCTGGATTTCTGAGACAATTGTTACTTAGAATGCTTGCCAGCAAGCCTGCTGTAAACAGACAGAACCTGGGCCTGCCTGTGTCTTGGCATCAGACCTCATATCTATATTATGTGCTACATTATGGATGTAAGTCAAGCTGTACACTTCTAAATGTTCAATTTTCTTTAAAAATTCAAGTGAAACATACACAAATAAAGCCATAATAGGCTTTATTTGATTGTCACATAGGGAAGTAGCTGTCAGTTAAATGTTGTGTGTGGCCCATAAGCCACAGGATAAAAAAAAAAGTTATATTTTCTACAAGAAAAAAGAAAAATGATAGATATTTTTTACTTTATTTGTGGCAAAATTAATTTATGTTTTCTATTTTAAATTACTTTTTGTTGTTAATGCTTTTTACTATTTCAGCGTTTTGGTAATAGTGGCAAAGTTTATAATTATATTTACTATTCAAAAGTTTGTGAAACTTTGAAAGAACCAGAAAGGGTTTCCCTGTCTAGCTCTGGATGTCCTGGCACTCACTCTGTAGAGCAGACTAGCCTGAAACTTAGGAATCCAGCTGCCTCTGCCTCCTAGGTACTGGGATTAAAGGCATGTGCCATTACCTATCAAAAGAATTTTTTAAAAATCAGTATTTCTACAGTTCTTTATTCTTTCTATTCTGTCCCCTCTTCCTCTTATTTTTATTTTGTGTGTGTGTCTGTGTGTGCGCACACGTGTCTGTGTGTGTGTGTGTGGCGTTTTGAAGCAGGGACTTACCTTTTGTAGCCCAAGGTAGCCTGTATTCACTTTGTATCTCTGGCCTTGAACTTGTGGCAGTCTTCCTGCCTCAGCTTCCCTGATGCTGGAATTATAGTGTGAGCCACCACGTGAAGCAGAATTTTTTTTTCTAGCTCATAGTAACCTCTTGAAAGTATTTTATAAGTAAAGCTTTGTTGGCTCTAAGTTTATTGGCATTTATTCAGAGGATTATTGTAAGATACATCATGTGTTTCAAGGTAAAAATTTTCATTTTTACAATATTACAATACAAAATTACAATAATTCTGCATTTTAAGACATTAACTTTAAATATAAAAAACATAAAGGAAATGCAATAATGAAACCCATTATTTTGTAGACTCTTGAGAATTGATAGGAATACGTAGGAAATTGCTGTTAGCAGTGAGAATAAGAACACCAGCCCATGTACTATGCAGGTGCTGGGATTAAAGGTGTGTCCCACCACTGCCTGGCCTGTATGGCTGACGACTGTTCTGCATTCTGTTCTTCAGACAAGCTTTATTTAATACAACACAAATAAAATATCACTACAAAAATATTTATTTCTGAGATTATGATATACTACCATCATTGCCCCTTTCCTTTCCTCCCTCCAAACCCTCCCGTGTACCCCTCCTTACTCTCTTTCAAATCCATAGCCTCTTTTTTATTGTTGTTGCTTGCATATGTGTATATTTATATACATACATATTCCTGATTATAATGTGCTCACCGTCCATAATGTCACTTACATGTGTATTTCCAGGGCTGTTGGGTAACCAGTTGATGTGCTCTTCTCTGAGGAAGACCACCTTGCTTTCAGTGTTCCTTAGTTGCCTTAGTTCTTTGTGTAGCATAGGGGCCTCATGGTCTTTTCTCTGTCTACTTTTGCATGTTTGTTGTTGTCTTTGTTAGCTTATATATTTTTGGGTTTTTTTGATCATGGTGTACCCCTGTCTATCTTGAAATTAACTATGTAGACTAAAATGGCCTTGAACTCACAGAGATCTTCTTGCCTCCACCTCCTGAGTGCTGGAATTAAAGGCATGCATCACCATGCCTAGAAAGCTTATTCTTACTCATGCCCTTTCATGGTTATTTACTTAGCTTTCATTTTAGTTCTCAATAGTTTTGTTATTATGACAGCTGAGTATAATAACTAATAGAAAGCTGCCAAATGCTTCATTCCATTGAATTCCTTCATGGTGTCGTAGGTTTTCTCATGTAAGTTTCTGCATAGAAATGATCATCTTGTCCCATGATGCTTAGAAAGCTTTTCCCTGTTTTGAGTCAAATTTAGTGGTAACAGTACTATATACGTGTTACATATTTTTAGGGTCTCCCTTTCTATCTCTAACCGTCTTGCTACCCCTATCTCTTTACACATAGTCTTTCTCTCTCTCTCTCTCTCTCTCTCTCTCTCTCTCTCTCTCTTTCTAGACAGAAGATGACTAGTTATTTAAAGTCTGGATTAGCTGAGACTATATTTTTTACATATATTTCAACTGATTTTCCCCTTATATAGATTGAATACATTATAGCACAATTAATTTATTTCTTTAATTGACTTTTTAAAAATGTTTTCTCCTAATTGTTCCTTTTAGCTGTCAATTTTCTGAGGAAATGGCAAAGTAAAATAGCATTTATCTAGACTTTCTATACTGTATTAAGTATGAACAATTAGTTTGCATGAATGTTAATAATTTAAATCTTTAAAATTTGACTTATCTTATCTTTTGTGCTTAGTTTTTTGGGGGAATGGGGTCAGGGGCAGTTGAGACAGAGCTTTTCTGTATAGCCCTGGATGTCCTGGAACTCTGTAGACCAGGCTGGTCTTGAACTCAAGAGATCTTCCTGTCTCTGCCTCCTGAGTGTTGGAATTAAAGCTATGCACCACTATTGCTATTTGCTTAGTCTTTTTTATTATTGTTATTTTAAAATTTAATTACTAGGGAGAACAACATTCAGGAGCTGGTTCTTCCCAGCCTCACCTCTCAGGTTGGCAGGCTTGCATAGCAAGCACAGTTATCTCTTTTATTCCCTGAGCAATCTGGCTCCCCAGTGCTTAGTCTTATTGAACTTGAACTCTGACCTGCCTAGACTTGAGTTCTCTAATCATTTATCTGTGATATTTCAGTGCAGCACACCATTTTGACATCAAGGGCATCTACATGTTTTTAACTTACTACCACAGCTGGAAGGATAGTGTCCCACTTCTTTTTTAATACTGAGATTGGGTGTCATTCATTAAAATAGTTATGAATAATGCCTACTGATATTTTTGCTATAGTGCACTGCATTTCTGTATAAGAGGCTCTTGGTTCTATAAAAAGAAAAGTTTATATTTAAGAGTTTATTAGTGAACAAGTTGCTAAACTACATTTTAATCTTAGGTGTTAAGTGTATGAAATTAAGTAGATTTTGTAATAAAGAAGAAAAGGAAGTAGACACTATCATTTTTAAACAATTAGTATATTAATATATCTCAGTGCAGATAGAATTCTTTTAAAAATTTAAAAAACATTTTATTTTGTGTTTGACGTTTTGTCTGTATGTATGTCTATGCACCACTTGCATGCCTAGTGCCTACAGAAGCCAAAAAGGATTGTTTTTTGGGGGGGGATTTCTGCATTTGGAGTTCCTGCTGCCAAGTCATTTATAGGCCTTAAATTTGGGTTCTCTGCAAGAACAACCAGTACTCTTTAACTACTGAGCCATCTCTCCAGTCCTTAGAATTATATATGTATTTATATGTGCACGCATGTGTGTAAAAAGCTGTATCTAAATATAGAACTTTACATTTTCAAAACTTTCTCTTTGAACTGTGCATCACCCTTCTAAACTGAGTTTGGTTCTGAGGCATGTCTCACTGTATCCCGGTAAGGTGTGTAAGCTCCCGTGTTGGAGTTTGTTCTTTCATGCCCGTGCTTTATACTTTGTCACGTAGGACATGATCTTATTGGCCGAGTCACTAGTGTCCATTTTATATCTTGTTATAGAAAGTATCTGACTGTCAAATTCCTTGCTATTTATTAGATACTGATTTTTGTATTATGCATGTATTTAAATAAGTTAGGTTTGCTTTAGTCAGATTTCATTATGATAATGTGCTAATGACTTAAGAAATTTTAAATCTTTTGGTGAATTATAGGCTGAATGGAGAAGAAATAGGAAAGCTTGGTAGGAACTATGCCACTGAGCATTGACATTCTTTTTGGAATATTTGAATTTATTATTTAATTAATATGTGTATTTATTTTTGTGACAGAACTCAGCGGAGACCAGAGTGACCTTGAAATCACAGAGATCTACCTGCTTCTAATTATCTGGAAGCTGGGATTAAAGGCGTGTGCCACCATGCCCAGCTATTTAAATTTAACTCACACAGAAAAACATTAAAATTGTACATATTAACAGGCAATATGATTTGTTTGTATATTTGTTTATATCTTATTGAGACAGTTTCTCACTGTGTAGCCCTGGCTGTCCTTAAACTTGCTATGTGCAGCAGGCTGATCATGAACTCACAGAAATCACCTGCCTCTGCCTCCAAAGTGCTGGGATTAAAGAAAGTCATGGGTGGACCAGCATGCCCTGTTGATAAGACTTTTTTGGTGCATTTATCTATTGTGTGACACTTAAATCAAATTAAACTTATGTGCTCAAACATTTATTATCTTTGTAGTATAAAAACATTCAAATTCCCTTTTTTTTTTTTTTTTTTTTAAGTCGAGCTGTGTAGCGTAGGCCAGCTTAGAATTTGCTGTGTGGCTAAGGATGACTTTGAATTCTTAGTCATGCTACCGCGTGAGTGCTGGGATTTGAGGGCTGTGCCCTGTGTCTGGTTTTAGCCTGTCGTGCTAGGGTTTGAGCCCAGGACTTTGTGCATGTCAGGCGAGCACTCTACCAACCACACCACATCCTGGCCTTTCGGGTTCTTTCTTTGGATTCTGTGAAGTGTGCCGTATCCCACTGTGTGGTGATAGCACAGCGCACCTTCTCGCTCCTGTCCTACTGTAACTGAGCACTCCTTTGCCATCTTCTCCCTCTCCTCCCTTCCTCTGTCTCTCCGCAGCCTCTAGCTACCACTCTGTCTGCTCAGCTTGTTAATGTTCCAGATGAGCGAGAGTGTGTGGTCCCTGCCTTTCTGTTCCTGACTTACTTGGCTTAGCTTGATCCCTAATTCTAAATGATGGTCTTTCTTGTCCTATTGTATGGACGAGCACATTTTCCTTATTCGTGTGTCAGTCAGTGGATACTTAGGGGTCTTTCTGGTTTGTGGCAACTGAATAGGACTGCAGGAAACAAGAGAGTCTAAATATCTCTTGAACATACTGATGTCATGTCCTTTGTTCACCAAGGAGTAGGACTTCTGGGCCATATGGTAGTCTACTTTTAATGTTTTAATGGGTTTTTTTTTTTGCATTCTATGTATGTGTATGTGAGTGTTTATGTATGTATGTGCATGTGTGTGGATGTATGGGCCATCGCATCCATATAGACATTAAAGGATAACTTGTAGGTCTTTTCTTTGATCATGCATGTTCTGGGGATTGAACTCAGGTCATTAGTCTTGGCAGCAAACACTTGCTAGGTTATCTTGCCAGCCCTAATTTTAATTTTGGAGGGAAATTCCATATTGGTTTCCTTTATTAACTATATTCATTACCCTTTAAATCATGTTCAAAGCTGTTACCAAAGTGACCTTTACTGAGAATTGTTTGTGAGCTGTTCCTGTGGAGAGTACACACATACCTCATCTCAGGCCTTTGCGTCCTGCTTTTCTTCTCTTGAGTCTACCAGATGCTACAGAAAAATAAGATTTAACTTGTTTAAAAAAAAAAAACCTCTTACTGATAAAAATTACCCGATATTATTTTATAGTATAGTGTTGTTGTTTTTTATCTCCCTACAGAGAACCATAGGCAAAATTGCCACATGTTTAGAATTGCGAAGTGCAGCGTTACAGGTAAGTAGAGGTGTTCTTAGCTGTCTGACATGATTGTTCTGCTGAAATAGTAGACATTCGTGCTGTGTCATCTCAGGGGAGTTTACAGTCAAGGGAATTCCTCAGTAACACGCACACTCACAGGGTTTGGTTCATATGTTGTAAACTATAGCAATCAAAGATGTAGCTTTAATTTTTTTTTATTGCATTTAGCCTTAATATACTGGGAATGTAAAACAAACAAAACCCAGTTTGGAACTTTTCGTTTCCTACCTTGAATGCAAGAAATAGATTTTGAGTCACTTTGAATTTTTGGTTTTACCACTTAAGAGACATAGGGTACAGTGAAATCTTTGTAGTAAAAAGATGTAATGTGCATATTTTAAATTTAGTCCACACAGTCCCAAGAAGAATTTAAACTGGAGGACCTGAAGAAGCTAGAACCAAGTAAGTGTTTTCTTCTGGTGCTCTTGTCATCTCTTTAGGGAAATAATTCACGGTAGATGTTAACACTGTTTAGCATAGGTGGTGGTTTTCTCCTGATACCTAGCTATGTAACATTTTTTTAGTCCTTCTTAAATTTCTGCAATATTTGTAGTAGTTATAATTTGGTGTAAATATCTATTAACCTTTATTTTGTTTTGGTGGCTTTAATAAGATTGGTTTCTTTGACAGACATTTACAGCACAGTCTAAGGAAGAAGATAAACTATAGTCAGTGATGCCAATCAGTTTACATGGCATGAGAACTGTAGCCCATGCTACGAAATTCTTGCTTGTGGTGTTTATTTCTTTCCTTTTCCTCTAAAACTTTCTGAAGTAAATACTTTCTTTAAATATTTTGGTGGTTAAGATGCTGCCTGAAGGCCACTACCACTCCTTTTTTTTTTTTCCTTTTTTGCTGATTCAGATGAGTGTTCTCTTTCTTGAAATGTCTGCAGTATGGGCAGAGGTGAATATGACTGAGCAAACCTTAGCCAATACCAGCAAGGCAGGATTGCATGGTTTAACATGCTTTTGTAGACAGGGAAGAACAGCTTTCAGACCCATCTGCTAAGGCATATTCTAAGTAGGGAATCAAAATCGTTATAGTTGAAGAGGAGATGAATCGGCTATGTTCCACTGCAGCCCCTGGTAGCTGGCAGAGCCTGAATCACTGCAGTCCTTCTGGTGTACCACACCTTGTGTGAGAGGTGAAAGAACTAAAGAGATGTTCATATCAACTTCACAAGCTGCCGATTCCCTGCTCATGGCAAGGCTGAGGGAGGTAGACGTAAGTGACCAAGGAAGTGGGAACACGCTTGTAATGGAAGGACCAGGCTCCGAGGTTTGCGGCGTCTGTGCTCAGCAGGGTCAGATTTCTGTTGTTTTGCTTGGGTTGGTAGAGAGAAGCAACAAAAACACAGAAACACAGATCTGCTGTGACTCTGGCTTTTCCACAGTTGTTAGATGATCATATTTCATCTCTTCAGAGCAAGGTTCTTCTGCATATGGCAAGAATTAGGATGAACTGTCATTTTAATAGTTTTGGTGTTTTATGTAATGCAGACATAACCTTTTTGTTACAAGAACTGTAATTTTATATTTCTAAGTAGTTCTTACCTGTTTTCAGTGAATATAGAAATGCCAATTAAATAATGTAAACATTTTTAATTTTTTCTGATCACATTTTTCTATTCATAGAACTTTTATGGTTTCTTTTAAAAATGTTAACAAATACTTTATATAAGTTTTTATTGGTAGCTTCAGAGAATGTTATTTAGAAACCATAAAATTCACTAATTTAGAGTTATAATTACTCATTTTTATTGTCTTGACAGTGTATCATTTCCACAGTCAATTTCAGGGTATTTTCACCACCCTGAAAAGAAGCCCTGTACCCACCAGCATCACTGGTTCTCTCATTCAGATTCTGACCCTCTCCAGTCACCAGATCTAGACAACCACTAGTTTGTCTATAAATTTGCCTAGTCTGAACATTTTACACAAATGGAATAATATATGGTCTTCCATGACTGGCTGTGTATAAGATATTTTGGAGAAAAACACATTGATGGCTTTAATTAAAGATTATAACTCTGAGACTGGTGTTCTCAATGGTAGAGCGCATAGCCAGCACATGTGAGGCATCCCCAGAACCACAAGGAAACAAACAAATGCAGCAAGGTCACAGCTGCCTTCTTTCTCCCTGCATTCAGTTTAGTTTTTCTGTCTTGCTCTATTCTGCCCTGTCATACACAAAAGTAGCTTCTTTATTAACCAATGGTAAAAAAAAAAAAAAAAAAAAAAAAAAAAAAAAAACATATTTATAGCATAAAGGAATCCCACATCACTATAAACTCAGCAAATTTGTGCTGTATTCAGTAGATTTGAATGAACTGCAAGGGGATGACAAGTCCATTTTTTTGTGAGTTTGAGAGGCTGGGGGACTGATTCTCAGTAAGAGAGGACACTAAAGGTGTCAGAGTAGTAAAAGTTCATAAAACTGAATGGTCCTCAGCTGCTGGTGCGAGACTGTAAAACACTTAAAAAGTGAGGCCTGGAACTAGCAAGGTGGCTCAGAGTATAAAGACACTTGCCACCAATCCTGACTACTTGAGGTCAATCTCCGGGACCCACATAGTGGAAGGAAAGAACCTATTCCCAAAAGCTGTCCTCTACCGTGCATGCACACAAAATACATAAAATGTAACAAGAAGAAAAAACAGTGAGTCTTGGCCGATGGAAGCAGGCCATAGGGACATTCCTGTGGTTGGGGTGAACATAGGAGTGCATGTGCTTTCAGAGGCCACAACAGGGTCTCATCCATAGGAACTGAAGTTAGAGATGGTTGTGAACCACCCTGAGTGGGTGCTTGGAACTAAACTGTGTGGTTCTCTCAAAGAAGAACACATGCTCTTAAACACGGAGGCATCTCTCTAATCCAAGTATTTCTATTCCAAAGCACTAATACCTGAAAAAAGAAGTGTACAAAAAGCAAAATATTTGCAGCTATGGTGTCTTAGGGTTTTACTGCTGTGCAGACCCCGTGACCATGGCAACTCTTATAAAGGAAACATTTCATTGAGGGTCTCCCTTACAGTTCAGAGGGTCAGTCCATTATCATCATGGCAGAGAACATGACGGTGTGCAGGCTGGAGGAGTAGTGAGAGTCCTACATCTTGCAGGCAACAGAAAATCTACTGAGACCCTGGGTGGTATCCTGAGCATAGGAAACCTCAAAACCTGCCCCCACAGTGACACACTTCTCCAACAAGGCCAAAACTACCCCAACAAAGTCACACCTCTTAATACTGCCACTTCCTTTGGGGCATTTTCTTTCAAACTACCACATGCATGCCTGTAATCATCCCACTTTGAAGGTGGAGGCGGGAGAATTAGGAATTCAAGTTTAACCTCAACTATGTAGTGAGCATAAGGCCAGCCTGGGCTACACTAGACCCTATGTCCTCTCATTTTCCTAAGGGAAAACATTCTTTGTAACCGATGTAGCTTTCAGTGTCTTTCACATATTTTAAAGGTTGTTTTTTTCCCCTTTTATTATTAGAAAATATGGCTTCTGTGTCAACTAATATTAATGACAATGTCGTTCTCTCTACTGTAATACTATATGATTAACTGCTATTTACTGAGTTAAAAGTTTACTGTAATCATAAAGTGTTGACAGAGGTTTCTGTCCCACCCAGTCCCGCAGCCATTCAGTCCCAAAGAAACACACAGAGGCCTACACTAATTAGAAACTGGTTGGCCTGTTAACTCAGGCTTTCTTATTAACTAACTCTTAAATCTTACATTAACCCATAATTCTTGTCTGTGTTAGCTATGTGGCTTGATACCTTTTTCAGTGAGGCATTCTGATCTTCCTCTGCATCTGGGTGATGACTGCAGACTGAGCCTTTCCTCTGCCCAGAATTCTCCTGTTCTGGTTGCCTCACCTATACTTCCTGCCTGGCTACTGGCCAATCAGCATTTTATTAAACCAGTACAAGTGATAAATCTTTACAGAGTACATTACTGTTGTCCCACAGCACTTCTCCCTCTTTTTTTTCCAAAACAAGAACTCTGAATCTAATTTCCTTTGTTTAGCTTTTTTCCTGACCATTATCCATAGCAATTTGTAACTAACACAAAGACAAACATCCACAATCCATTTTTGGGGAATATGGGTGTAGTTTTCTAGGCTACTTCCTGCTGATTGGGGTCGCTTATAATCTTTTGGGGACCTAAAGAAAATTTAAGATATGGTCAAGTCCTGACTGGAATATTCTTTGAGCTTGATCATCTCAGGCAGCAATCTTGAGGCTGTTCTTGATTTCAGAGGAAACTCCAACAGAGGTCCTCTGACATGTTGGATCATCTGGGAAATCTGCTCTCATCAGAGATTTTTCAGAGGGTCTTCCTTATTCAAACCTGATTTTTCTTAACCCAGAATGAATCCACAACCTCCCATTTCCTCTGGAAACAAAAACAAAACCTCTTCTCCAAAGTAACGTATCTTTTGACTTAAAATTTGAAGTCAAGGCACTTTCAAAATATATGTTGGATTAATCTAGTAACATTTATAATCAAATGTCTTTTAGCATCTGTTGGTCCTTCCTCAGTCATCAAACAATTCAAAGACAACAACATACAGTATCCAAACTCTGTATATTTTCCATCTTCACATCACTTTATTTTAAACTCCATTTCTTTTATTTTTAATTTTTGTTTTGATTTTTGTTTTTGAGATAGGGTTTCTCTTTGTATCTTAGGCTGTCCTGGAACTCACTCTGTCTTTGAACTCACAGAGATCCACCTGTCTCTGCCACCCAAATGCTGGGATTAAAGGTGTATGCCACCACGCCCAAGGACTTTATTTTTTTTTCTTTTTTCTCCCAAGTGTACATATATTTTTAAGCACACTGTAATGTGTTCAGAGGTTTTTTCGTCTGGTTCTATCTTACTGTATATCTTTCTTTTTCTCACCACATGAGTCTTTAATTTGCTAAGCAATATGGCTAAAATTAAAGCCATGGCTTTGACAGCTGGATCCACCCCATTCCTTAGCTTTCTGAGTGTCTAGCTTCATGTCAGAGGTACTGACGGGAGCCATGTTTATTGCCACAACTCTATGAAGTTTTAAAGTCCCTGCCACCACCAAGAAGCATGCTGTCAGCTATTCATAAACACCATTTAAGTGTTTGGTGGTGGGGCCTCTTAAAAGAGCTGCAAAGTTTTTGCAGCTAAAGCTGAGTCAGGAAGCCTCTCTTAAATTAGATGCTTTCCCCTAGCAAACAGAGGCCACCTGAGAAAATATTGCTACCAAGAAGCCATGCTTAACTCTGTACTTTTGTGTCTAGAATTGCTTCCCAAGCTCTCTCAGATTTTATGTGGATGTAGTTGGCCATGTTGGCTCCATTTGTTATCCATCTTCAGAAGGGATGTTACTATGCTTTGAAAAGGTGGAACTCTTTGTGAGGCAGGAAACACTAGGATTCTAGTCAGTCACAATGGAAAGCCATGGCAAATAGTAATTCATGCATAACAGTGCAGGTTTCTGCTTACTCTCTTTTTAAGCACTGAGACCCAAAAACAAAGAAAAATGAAAAAGACATTTATAAAATACAGATACAGCTGAGTATGGTTATGTTCAACACTTCAAAATTTCCCCTGCATCTCATATATATTCTTTAATTTTAGTTCACTCTGTAGTCTGTAAAGGAAGTGGCATTTCCATTTTAGGACTGGGAAAACTAAGTAATTTACATGACTTTAGAATAGTTACACACTTTCGTTGTTGGAATTGCAGGGCAGACGTTTTATTTAAACCACTTTGGTCTCTGATAGTCCTTTCTTGCTTGTAAACTTTCTATTATTTGAAGAAGTCAAACCTCGCTGGATGTGGTGGGGCATGCTTGTTCAAGAGTCTGAGGTGGGTAGATTGCCATAAGTTACATAGTGAGTTCTAGGCTAGGTTGAGATATAGAGTGAAACTCTGTCTCAAAAATAGCAAGCCCCCCAAAACTCTACTTTCTTCTCTGTGCCTTTATTGCTCTTGTTTCTCCAGTACTGGAAAGTACCAACCCTGCAGTGACTGTGGGTGATGCCTCTATCCTGGGTCACAGCTCCAGTGTCTTCTGACAATAGTTTTGGATGTTGACCCTGTGGGTTCCAGCTGCTCTACTGTTTCTGTGTATCTGTCCTAACAGTAGCCACATTTACACATTAGCTTATCTACTTGTCAGCATCCATGATCTGCTTTTCTTGAGTTTGGTCTAAAGTCCAAATGGGAGTTTTGGCTGAGTGTATATCTCAACCTCCAACCTACCACAGCCAGCCAGTCTAAAGACTTCACTTCAGGATGAGCTCTAGTCTGTCTAGATCTGTAGAATGTTAATGTAGGTAATAAGATTTTATTATAAGAGAGTCATCAGAAGAACAACCTTTCTGTTGCACATCTTTCCAGTTTTATGCTGTTGAGGGGACATTTACTCAGGACAGAATAGAGCAGGATGTGTTGCTCCTCCCCTGTCCTCTGTGATGCTGCCATTTAGCTTCCCACATTTGTGTATTATCTGGTCTGTTGGGTGACATGTTTGTTGTTTGTTTCTCATGAGTTTGGTTTAAGATCCTTTTAAGAGTTCTTGATCACGGTGTATCTAAGAGTCCTAACTAAGTACACAGTTACTGAGAAAAATTAAGATAGTGGGAGGATGAAGGCAAGCTAAAGAGAAAGAGTATAAACCAAAGAGAACTGTGACTTCTGACATTTTTTTCCACACTGGATTCTATGAGTGCACATATAAGAAGTTGGGTAAAAACTGACAATCATTGGAGCATGTCGTGCAATTGCAACCTGTGCCCTCTGGATACCCTCTTTAGAGGCTATCTGATAAGTACCAATATGCCCTACCTCTTTCAGCTCTGAACTATGTGACTGCAAAATTAAAGGCTGAGTATATTGAGTACTAAGTTCCAGGGGCCTTTTGTGTTGTCCATTTCATGCTGTGGGTTCACCTTCTTGTAATTTGCAGCTTGTTACTGGGACCCTTACATAAGGCTGGAAATGAGACACTGAATTATAGACTTAGAGTAATTCTGTAGACCCAGCAGCATTGCAGAGCATCTCCCTCCCTCTAAGCTCACATGCCCAAAGGGAACTGAGAATGTAACCACAGGCAGGACACAGGTACTACGTGGAGTACAGAAGTCTCCATGCTGTCTGGAGACTTCTCCTTAGGATTTATTCTACTGTGTCTATGTCTGTAAATATATAGACATAAGCAGTAAATTTCATCATAAAAGCAGATGTATAACTGCCAACATAAACCATATCAGTTTGGTAACATCCTGGAGAAAACTCAAAACAGATGAAGATATGCTCCTGTATCTCTTTAATTGTCATCTTTGATGTCAGGAGGACCCTGCATCTCACCCAGGATCTTGTACACATTAGGATATGTTTTGGTGACCTAATTTTCTCAGACTTTCTGCAAACAAGTACAGTGGCTCTGGAATGATAATCTGGGTATTTGAAAATATGTTTAAATGTTCATGGTAAAATTTATTAAAAAACTAGCTCTGTGAGCTAAAATTTAGTTTTTTATAGAAGAATTCATGTTTCCGCTGGGTAACGATGGCACATGCCTTTAATCCCAGCACTCAGGAGGCAGAGGCACACAGATCTCTGTGAGTTCGAGGCCAGCCTGGTCTACAGAACAAGTTCCTGGACAGGCTCCAAAGCTACACAGAGAAACCCTGCCTTGAAAAACCAAAAAAGAAAAAAGGAAAAAGGAAGAAGAATTCATGTTTCTTTGTCTTTTTATTGCAGTCCTGAAGAATATCCTTACATATAATAAAGAATTCCCATTTGATGTTCAGCCTATCCCATTAAGGTAAATAAGTATTTATATTCATCTTCTGCTCTTGCTGTCCTCTTTATACCCACTTTTCGGTTATGTTTGTTGTTGTTTTATCCACTTTGGTATATTTGATATGATCAATACCAACACTGGTATCAATACGTTAAACTCTTATAATACTCAGCATCCTGTGGAACAGCTGCGAGGCCTTGTTGGTGTATTAAGTATTCTAGTTCATTGTTTAGTTTCTTCTCTCTCTCTCTTCCATGTAGACGAATTTTAGCACCTGGTGAAGAAGAGAATTTGGAATTTGAAGAAGATGAAGAAGGTGGTGCTGGAGCAGGCCCTCCTGATTCTTTTTCTGCTAGAGTTCCTGGTGGGCATCCTTACACAGAACATGCACTGCTTTATCCAGTGGGACACTTGGTCTGCTAGTGCAGCGTAAAACCTTTCCAGAGCCCTTGCCATAAACTGAGTTCCATGGCCAGGCCACTGTCTGTGGTTATCTCAGCACACAGTGTGAACTTCTCCAGAGCCCTTACCAACTGTAAACTAAGTTCATTGGCTGGGCCGCTGTTTGTGGTTATCCCAGCACACAGTGTGATAGGGCCATCTGTGTTAGTGGTCCTCAGAACACATGTTAAGTGATTCACCAGGACTCACAGCTAGAAACACAGGAGCAAAATTAGCCAAAGGAAAAGGCATATGGACCAAGTTAGAGGAAAATGGATACAGAGTCCAAAGCCCCTTTCCCTGTGCTGCCAGCCACATAGGCAGAATTTAATTCCTACTCTATCAAGTTGTGACAGCATTGTGACGGGTGAAATGTCTGCTTAGAGATTTAGCACACAGAACTGCTGTTGTTAATTGATCACAGAATCATTTTCTACCTACTATAGACCAAAACTATAGATATCAGAAGGGAAGAGTGTTCAGCACAAGCTATACTGCTCACATAGTTCAGGTATTGTAAGATGAGCAGGACAGATAGAAATCCTCATCAGATCTAAGATCCCAAGTGCCAGCCTGTAGCCAGAGGCTTTTCTCTGTTCCACCTGGTCCCACTGGACTGATTTCTCTCCCACCCATTGGTCCCCTACAGCTGCTTATAAAATAATCATTCAGAGGCTAAATATTAATTATAATTGACCGATGGCTCAGACTTATTATTAACTAGCTCTTACAACTTAAATTAACCCATTTCTATTAGTCTATATTTTACCACGAGGCTTGTGGCTTCTTAACTCCATCTTACTTCCCCAGTGACTGCTAGTGTCTCCCTGACTCTGTTCTTCTCCCTATATCTCCGCTTGGATTTCCCGCCCTGCTCTGTTCTGTCTAGCTATTGACCAAATCAACTTCTTTGTTAACCAATGGCAGCATACAGAGGGGTTATCCCATAGCATCAGCCACAGGCCAAGCTTTGTCTTGATCCTGCAGTCTCAGCCTGTCCTGTGTTATATAATAGTCTTTAACCAAATTGTGGTTGGTATAAGTAGGCCCGGGTGGGCAGATACTGGAGCACTACCTTCATCTAAGAGGAGTGAAGGGTATAGTGAGTTGTTTTTATTTGTAGAAGAGCTTGGATGAGGATCTTTTCTCCCTGTGATTATAAATAACTTTAGGGAAATTACACATAGTAGCTGTTGCTGCTGGCAGGTCTTCTCACGTACAAGACGTTATTTCTGGTCTGTTTTGCTTTTGAAGACATATGATTATTTCTATATTTTTTAATTTTTTTTATTTATTCATTTTTCAAAAACTTTGTGTGTTAGTGCTTTGCCTACATGTATGTATATGCACCATATGCATGCCTAGTACCTACAGAGTGCTTGCCACTACCAACGTTGAGTTAAGCACAATTTTCATTTTTATTTTTATTATATATTGGATGTTTAGCCTGCAAGTTTGACTGTACACATACTATATGCATGCAGTGCATTTGGAGTCCAGAAGAGGGCATCAGGTCTTCTGGGACTGGAGTTTCAGACAGTTGTTGAGCCATCGTATGGTTGCTGAGAATCAAAGCTTGGACCTCTGGAAGACCAATCAGTGCTCTTAACCACCAAGCCATCTCTAGCCCTGGTAGTTAAGCGCATTTTTCTGTAGGCCTTTTAAAAGCACAAACGGTGAAGAAAGGGATTACAGGGCAGGGAACCCTGGTTGCTCTTTGGGCTGACGAGGGAGGGGGACTTGACTGGGGGAGGGGGAGGGAAATGGGAGGCGGCAGTGGGGAAGAGACAGAAATCTTTAATAAATAAATAAATTAAAAAAAGAAAGAAAGAAATCTGATGTGGGAGATGCCATTAGAGCAGTCATTCTGGCAGCCTGAGCTGTGCTCTGCGCTGGACAGCAGCTGTGCTGTCTTCTGGAAGAACCAGTAGAGGTCTGATAGGTGTGGGAGCATCGTGGTGCCCCTGGCATAGGTGTGTCCATATGGTGAAATTCAGCAAGCTGCACTTAAAATTTAGGCATTTAAATGTATATTTTATGTTTCAGTGCAATGCTTTTTAAAAGAAAAGCCACTAGTAAGATGTTTATAAGACATGAAACCAGAACTTTTTCTAATGTATTAGAGATCTCTTACAACTTAATAAGGAAAGGACATTTCAAGAGAAATTTGGGAAAAATAATTGAACACCCTCTTCAGGAAGGAGAAAATCCAAATCTATGATCTAATAGAAAGCTATGAGGCACTGTTAGCCATCAGAGACCATACAAGTTCCCGTGAGGTCAGTGCCTGCCACACCTAAGCTGATTCAAGTGAAGCATCTGAGAAACACAGTGCCTGAGGAGCACAGCAGTACCACTGTGCTGCACTGTTGGTGGCACAGAAATGGAACATCCACGGTAGGAGCTGATGACTTAGGAGTTCCTGTTTCAGAGACGTTTGTATGAGAATATGTTCACCACTGTGTGCATGGTAGTATTAAAAAATCAAAAGTTGATAACTCAGATGTCCATTAACAGAAGAATTAGGGCATAAATTTTATTATTTATCTAATAAATTTTATATAATCACATGAACCTTTTTTGTAGAAGAACTCAACTAAATATAAGTACTCCCATTTCTTTCCTAAAATTTCAAAGGTATTTCTTACCTTTCTGAAGTTTGTGTCTGAGTCCAGTGAGAAGCCCTCGTTCTGAAGGTGCCTGTATTTGTAATCAGACGGTCGAAGACAGTGTAGACAGTCATGAATTTTTGTGTATATGTCCAGAATTTCTCCTGTCCCATGAAGTTTTGTTAATGAAACACTGCAGTGAAGGCCATCCCCCACTCTTACTTTTGTGTTGTCTTGGTATTTAAATTAGGGAGTAAGATTAGGAGCTCCCATAATCTAGCACATGGGGATTGAGGTTGGAGGGTTGCCTTGAATGTGAGTCAGCCTGCGCTACATGAGACCCTACCCCCCAAAACAAACACCAAACTCACCAAAAAATTAACACATCTTAAAACTATTATTTTTAATAGCGTTATTATAGTATTCATATAAAATTTGCCTACTATTTGTTGATTCTTGATTTATAGATTCTATTTAGAATTTATAAATTCTAGATTTATAAAGTGGCATCCATGACCACCTTCCATTTTACATTTTCATTGCCCCCCCCACCAGTTTCCTCACACCTGTTCACTGTCAATCAGGTGTTCATTTTAGAAGGTACTGAATCTTGTTCTCGGATTCTTCATTGTTAAAAGTAGGGCAGCACATTGTTGAACAGAAAGGAAAGATACCAGCCAAATCCTATGTAAGTGTTGTATCTGAAAGTCGTTTAACTTCTGCACACACGCTGGGTTAAAATTGACCTTTTTTTTTTTTTTGAGGGTTGGGGTGCTCTTCTCTTTGAGTGGGTTTTTAGGTTTTGGGGGGGCATGCTCTGTGTGTAGTATATGTGTGCCTGGTGCATGCACCTAAGTTTTGGGTACACATGCCATGCACACAGACTTGGAGACCAGAGCAGAATGTGGAGTGTATTCAGCAGCAGCCTCTACCTTATTCCTTGAGGCAGAGTCTGAATTGGAATCTCAGCATTTGAGACTGGGACTCCTCTGCCTTTCTCCTCTGTGCTCTTAATGCTCAGGTCACAGGCAAGCGCAAGCATGTCCAGCTTTTTACCCAGATGTTCCGTATTCAAAGTCAGCTAGCAGAGAAAGTACACTTACCCACTGAGCCATGTCTCCAGCCCAGTCTTTAAGTTCTAAAACTTTAACTGGTGAATTGCTCTTTCAGTTTTATGTTGCCATTTCCTCTAGTACGAACTTCTAAGAATACATCATCCATAATAGGATGAGGAAAAGATAGGAAATTAGGCTTTAATAATCTACCTAATAATTGAATCTCTGAATATTGAACGATAAATTAGTAGTAACTGAAGGATTTTCTGGTTTATTCTCAAACTTCTCATGCTTCAAAATAACAGAAAATACTTCAAAACTGTTCTGTTTTTTTTCTACAAGTTCATATTGAGATATAAGGTATATCTTTACAAGTGTATTGAATAAATGTATTATGTGGATTGCTGTATTATCAATTTGTAGCAGCTTAAAATGAATTTTTAATATGCTTGCCTAAATAATTCTATTTATGGTGTTTGTGAAGTATGGAGTACAGATTTATCTTATGTATAACTAAGTATGTGTTCACAGAAAATACCACCAAGTGAGGTGTGATGACACTTGTCTATAATCTCCCTACTCGGGAACCTAAGAACATCCTCAAAAACAAAAAGGAATGATACAGTGTTTGAGAGTGGTAGAAAGCAAGATGGGCAATGCCTGCCTGGTTGCTAAGTTACAAGGAAGCCTGTGTCTCCTCTGCATGCTAAAATGTTCTCTGGAATTATGGGTAACCTGATTTTTACTATGGTTTCTCTGCTGCCAGGTACTTTATTGCCCCGATTGCCCTCAGAACCAGGGATGACGTTACTCACCATCAGAATTGAGAGAATCGGTCTGAAAGATGCTGGGCAGTGCATCGATCCCTACATTACAGTCAGCGTGAAGGGTGAGGAGCTCTGGGTGTGGTGTTCCCTCTGCAGGTGTCATGCTGCTTTCCACGTGCAATAGTGGTTCTCAGAGCGGTGGCTCCTGAGTCTGTCACAACTCACTGTAATCCATTTTATAATGATAGGAAATCCCTGAAATCAATCCTTACTCCTTCAGTGAACGCTCTGATAGATTTAATAAACATATTTTTAAATGTGTAGCTTATGCTCACTTTTGCTTTTGAGCCTATCTTTGTTTTTATGTTCCATACTCCAGACCCGTCTAGGGAGCCGGGTAGCCATGCACAGTCCCCTTAGCAGAGACAGCTTCCAGGATACAGAATTAGAAATAGTCTTCCTCTTCCACAGGAATGTAGTTTGAATTGCCCTCTGGCCCTCTGATTCCTACAACAGGTTTCTGTAAAGTGGGTGCTGAGTGGAGGTAGAAACCAAGAGAGGGTCTGTCCATATGTCCAGACTCCAAGAGCCTTTGCAGAACAGTAAAGAAAGTTATCAGAGTTAGAAAGTATGGTTGTTCCTGTTCCTAACAGAAAATCCACATGGTTGAATTCTTTATCGTTGCCATACTGGTCACACAGTACCTTATCCCTGTACACAGTACCTTATCCCTGTCACACTACCTTATCCCTGTCACAGTACCCTATCCCTGTCACATAGTACTTTATCACCATGCACAGTACTTTATACTTGACATATAGTACTTTATACTTGACATATAGTACTTTATACTTGACATATAGTACTTTATACTTGACATACAGTACTTTATACTTGTTATACAGTGCTTTACTTTCAAAACACTAAGTCTTTAAAAATAATTATTAGACATCAGGCCTACTGAAGCCTGTGATCTCAGTTTCCAGCAGCTGAGGCAGGAGAATCACTTGAACCCAACTTTGGAAAACACATGACAAAACCCTGTTTTTAAAAAATTAATAAAAACAGTTGTTATTCAGTCAGTAAGGGTAAAGTCATCATTATCAAGGAATAGTTACAGGGCTGGAGAGATGGCTCGGTGGTTAGGAGCATTGCCTGCTCTTCCAAAGGTCCTGAGTTCAATTCCCGGCAACCACATGGTGGCTCACAACCATCTGTAATGAGGTCTGGTGCCCTCCTCTGGCCTGCAGACATACATGCAGACAGAATATTGTATATATAATAAATAAATAAATAAATATTTTTTTAAAAAAGGAAATAGTTACATAATTCATGCAAGTGATTAACATTAAACTGCAGTTTGAAGCTAACAAAAGAACTAGATGTGGGCTGAAAATAAATAGAGGCTACTTTCATCACTTGTAGAAATAAATTCACACGCATAGGTTCATTAGTAACAATTAAAATAAAAAGGAATTTAGCCACAGAAAATAATTTTAATAAGCATAGGTTGTAATTGACAATGGTAATACTTTAAGGCAGTGGTTCTCAACCTTTCTAAGGCTGCCACCCTTTAACACAGTTGTTCATGTTGTGGTGACCCCCAACCATAATATTATTTCATTGCTACTTCATAAATGTAATTTTGGTAGTTATGAATCATAATGTAAATATCTGTTATGCAGGAAACCTTCTATGTGACTCCCATGAAAGGGTTGTTTGACCCCAAAGGGGTCATGATCTACAGGTTGAGAACATAGATAGCTATCAAATGTGTGAAGTATTTGTGCTCCATACATTGTTTATAAACCATCTGCAAAATGAAATAACTAATTCAGGAAGGTACTCAGTAAACATGAAATGTTGAACGATATGTAGCAGGTGTTAAGTTACTTTTGCATGCTTGTTGAACTGAAACAGGATTTTGTGTAAATATCTTTTAAGAACTCCAATAATAACATGTACCAAATTACTGTAGTTTTCTAAGACATCTTTGTTAAATAATAAATATGTAAACACTTATTTGTTAAATAAGCCTAATGCAGAATTTGATTAAGTGGGGTTCCTGGATCCAGGAAATTAAAGCCATACCCAGTAACTTAGTACACCATCTGGTTGTAGTAAATCAGTTATGTTTTAGGAAATATAGGCAGAATGGAAGTACTACTTAGAAAATTCTTTACTGATGAAAGGGATGTTTTGGCAGCTCTCATGCCCATCTGACTTGAGTACAGTGCAGGAGGTCTGTCTTAATTCTAGATCTAAAGCCTTTCCAGCCATGCCCTTGATCAGTGTTGCAAAATAGGGGTCAAGGGCCACCTCGTAGCAAAGTATATTCAGTCCAGGTTCTTACTGCATGTAATAGAATGGCCTGTGCTCTCAGCAAACAGGAAGTTCTTTCCCCTCTTAAAGATCCAATTTGATCTCCTGCAAACTTAGTTTTTTCTTTTGGGGGTTCCCATCCTCTCAGTTCAGCTCCCCCCCACACCGGTGGAGAGCAGCAGTTCCCAAGACCCTGTTCATACAGGGAGGCTCCTTGTGAGCCCCAGAATCCCTCCCCATCTCACCTCCACAGGAAACGGTACCCGTAATGTGATTGCCCCTAAGTGGAAACTTGTTTCTCTCTAGATTTGAATGGGATAGATTTAACTCCTGTGCAAGATACTCCTGTGGCTTCAAGAAAAGAAGATACATATGTTCATTTTAATGTGGACATTGAGCTCCAGAAACACGTTGAAAAATTAACCAAAGGTTTGTGACCACAATCTTTCTTTTCCTATGAACAGCACACATTTGGGAGGGTATGCACAGTGGTCCCATCATAGCCCACATCTGGCAGAAGTCAGTGTCACCTGGTTAGTTGATTTGAAGAACTCCAAATAGTAATGTTTTTTAAATGTTGAAATTAGGTGGTGTGCTATCTGGTTGTATAATGACACTAGAATATAACATTCTTCAATAGTAAAATTTTGGGCCTGGGAGATGACTCAGTGGGAGGACCTGAACTAGGTCCACTGCACCTGTATGAAAACCAGGCATGGCAGCTTGCCAGTGCTAGAAGATTAAGACAGCAGAGGCTTGCTGCTCAGCCAAGCTAGTTCCACCTTTAGTAAGAAATCCTGTCTCTAGCCAGGCAGTGGTGGCGCACGCCTTTAATCCTATCCCTTGGGAGGCAGAGGCAGGCACATCGCTGTGAGTTTGAGGCCAGCCTGGTCTACAAGAGCAAATTCCAGGACAGGCTCTAAAACTACAGAGAAACCCTGTCTCGAAAAAACAAAAAAGAACACTGGGGATGTTCTATCGGGAACTCACCAAGGCCAGCTGGCCAGGGTCTGAAAAAGCCTGGGTTAAAACCAGACTCGCTGAACATAGCAGACAATGAGGACTACTGAGACCTCAAGAACAATGGCAATGGGTTTTTGATCCTACTGCACCTATTGGTTTTGTGGGAGCCTAGGCAGTTTGGATGCTCACCTTACTAGACCTGGATGGAGGTGGGTGGTCCTTGGACTTCCCACAGGGCAGGGAACCCTGATTGCTCTTTGGGCTGACGAGGGAGGGGGACTTGATTGGGGGAGGGGGAAGGAAAGGGGAGGCGGCGGTGGGGAAGAGACAGAAATCTTTAATAAATAAATAAATAAAATGGAAAAAAAAGAAAAAATAAAAAAATAAAAAAGCAAAAATTCAATGAGAATTAATTCTATATCACAAAAAAAAAAAGAATAAAAGAAAAACCAAAAAAGAAAAAAAAAGAAATCCTGTCTCTAGTGATGTGGGAAACCAGGTGAGGAGTATACTGACGTTAACCTTGTGCTTCCTGCACACACACACGCGCGCGCGCCATACGCATGCACTCACGCATGTACATGCATGTATGGAAGCTTTTCTCTTTCTGATGAGTGGGGGAAGCCAGAACTCCTGATGATGCTCTGTTCCCTTCCTCCCACTTGGATACACTGAGTAGAAAAGTATCAGAACTTGGCAGCTCATTGGTGCTGCCTATGGATTGTGTGTCTTTCAATTTCACAGGTGCGGCCATCTTCTTTGAGTTCAAACATTACAAGCCTAAAAAGAGGTTTACCAGCACCAAGTGTTTTGCCTTCATGGAGATGGATGAAATTAAACCTGGGCCAATTGTAATAGAATTGTAAGTTTTGGGCATGGAAAATGGAATTTGGGGGTCAATCAGAGTATTTTAAACAATAATTTTTTTCTGTTGTGGTTCCAGATACAAGAAACCCACTGACTTTAAAAGAAAAAAATTACAGTTATTGACCAAGAAACCACTTTATCTTCATCTACATCAAACTTTGCACAAGGAATGATCCTGATACAAATAACCTGGAACTTGTGTGAATTTTACCACTCCGAAACCATCACAGCTCCGTGTAGCAATTCACTCTTCACAGGCAGGAATTGCCCTACCCATGCCAGCTGGCCCACACGTCGGTTGCAAAGCCGGACCCCCGAACTCAAAAGTTCAGCACATCACTGACCTATCCTTTGGATACAGGTTTATTGTAGATTTTGAAACATTTTTTACCTATTAATTGTGCAATTGATTATCTATTTTCTCATCACCACTACTTGCCCCTGCTTCCCAGACAGTACTGTTGTGGTCGATGTGCTGAACTTCAGACAATGCAGCAATAAGAATGTGCTAGAGTTTACATTTCTGCTCGCTTTTCCTCCAGTATGCTCTTCTGGCTTGAATGTCACACTCTGGGTTGAGGTGGGTAGAATTGCTCTGAGAGGAACTGGGCTAGCTACATTGCCCAGGAAAGTCTGTCTGGAAGCTTATAGGTACTCTTTAGAAGTGGCCTAGCTGAATGCCATAGATCTCCTGCATGGAAAGTGTGCCCTGGCCAGATGAAAATCCCACGTGGGGAGTTCCCCAGATGACCAGACTGTTTTCCTGAAGTGAGCACATGTACAGTCAGGTGGATTATCTGCTCCACTGCTCTTCTTCCTGGTAGATTCTAGGGTTAACGTTGGAGCCATCTCAGAACAACTCCAGGTCTTTAATGTGTTTACAATATCTTTTAAACTGCATCATTTAGGAAGAGTTGGGTCAGATGTTAAGATACTGCGGATAACTGCTGCTTTCCTGACAACCCATTGTGAGACCTTAAGACCGCATACCTCTCCTTAGTATGCAAAATCTGGAAAGATAGTTTATTTTTTTTAATATAGGTAGATATAATTGCCATTTATTTCCTACTTAGATATACAGTCATTCATTCCTTTTGAAAATATGCAGGTCATTAGTTTATTTTAAATTGACTATTTACTTTTGATGTAACGAGGCATAAATAAGATTTTCAGAGCACATGATGTTGTTACACAGAACATTAAGATTTGTGAGGGGCTTTCTGTGGGTGAGACATAGAACCCACATATTTTAATATTCACTTTTCAGTGTACAGTGCATAAGGAGACTGCACTGTCAACACTGGACCTGTTTTTAAATAGTATAATTCCACCACACCATTCAATATATTTGCTTCTTCAAGTAAGGAATCTCAGTGATATTTTAGCCTTGCCCGTCAAGAAATCTAGTCTTCGCTTTCAGCACCTACAAGGCCACAGTTTACTAGATGGATGAGAAGAATCCACAACCAAATTAATCTTGATTGGATTAATTCCAAATGCTGAAACAATTCCGTCGACAGTAGCTCTAAGGGATGTAGAATTTGCCTTAAATTAACTCATTATCCGACTCTTAAGCTTTGAGTTGTGGATCCCACGACTGTAAGCTCCTCACGGGGCAAGAGCCACATCTCTGGGACATGTGAAGGGTCTAAGGTGCTTGGCGGTACTCTGTACCTGTGGAGTACTCAGTATCCTGGGCAGTACTCTATACCTGGGGAGTAATCAGTACTCTGGGTAGTACTCTGTACCTGGGGAGTACTCAGTACCCTGGGTAGTACTCTGTACCTGGGGAGTACTCAGTACCCTGGGTAGTACTCTGTACCTGGGGAGTACTCAGCACCCTGGGCAGTACTCTGTACCTGGGGAGTACTCAGTACCCTGGGCAGTACTCTGTACCCTGTGTCAGTACTGTGTACCGTGGATAGTACTCAGTACCTTCTGTCTGATGTTGCTGACTAGACCTAAAAATTAACCCCATAAAACCTACTATTATTAAAATGTAGCAAAGACTATACATTGTCCTTTCTCTTTTCTTACAGACCATAAGACAAATAGCAAAGTGGTCATTTTCTGTGCTGTAGCCCCGATCCTTCGCATAAGCATGTTTATGTGAACTACAGAGGTGCCTGCCATCAGGATTAAAGAGCTTTAGTGGAACATCATGTGATAAGCTCAGTTTAATTCAGACATGAAGGGCACAGCCGTCATAAGCAGTTAGCACAGAGCATTCCACATTTCCCAAGTCAAGTTTCCATTGCAGTGGGAGAAACTGTCGCACAGTCGCCTTTGCCCTAGCAGGCATGCTTTCAGGCTCAGTTACTTCTCCTAGTCCGAGTATTAGCTGCTCAGCCCAGAAACAGTTAGCTGGAGGCAACGTCTGAAACAGGAACTTTTGAAATGAAAAAATGGTTCAACTGAGGTGTCACATCCTCTGTGCCATCTGGAGGCTGACAGCTTGTCATGGGCTTTTGTAGCACAGGATGTACAGTTGGACAGGGCTGAGGGAAAGCAATGGTAGACAGGCTCGCAACTGCCCAGATGTGCTACATGGAGATTTCCCTACATCTTGCTGATGATGTTTATGTTATATGGGATAATCAGAGGGCTTTAGAGGGAAATATCCTAGTTTTGAATTAAAGGGGGGGGGTACTTAGCTTTACTATTTGTCTTAGGTGGTATAATCTTAACTTTAAATGCCATCTAAACTTAGGTGGTTAGATAGCAGAGGCAGGAGGATATGAAGTTAGAGAAAGCCTGAACTACATAGATGAGATCCTATCTTAAAAAAAAAAAAGCAAAAATTTGAAATTATATTAACTTCACTATTTTGTATCTTGAGGAAGTTGACATACATTCAGATTGTGTTTGCAATTTAGTTTTATTTTTATATTTGGTTTAAAAATGGCATATGGTTGGGGCTTAAGAGATGATTCAGAGCCGGTAGTGATGGCACATGCCTTTAATCCCAGCTCTTGGCAGGCAGAGGCAGGCAGATCTGAGTTTAAGGCCAGCCTGGTCTACAGAGTGAGTTCCAGGACACACAAAGAAACCCTGTCTCAGAGAGAGAAAGAGAGACAGAGACAGAGAGAAAGAGGGTTCAGAGGTTAGAGCACTTGCTAGAGATGCTCAGTGGTTAAGAACACTGGCTGCTCTTCCAGAGGACCTGGGTTCAATTCTTAGCACCCACATTGCAGTTCACAACTGTTTGTAACTCAAAGATCCACAGATCTGACACCCTCACACAGATAAACATGCAGGCAAAATACAATGCACATAAAATAAAATATAAATAATTTTTTAAGAGCTGTTCTTTCAGAAAACTAGGGTTCAACTCCCAACACCCACATGGTAGCCCACAACTGCCTGTAACTCCAGTTATAAAGGATCTAGTGCCCTCTTCTGGACTCATGGGCACTGGACATACATGTGGTACACATACATACATGCTGGCAAAACATATATGCATAGAATAAAAATTAATTTTTTAATGACATATACTATCCTGTGGTGTTTTCTTATAGATATAAAACCTTCTGTGATTCCAGATTGGGACAAGGCACATTGAGCTCTTAGTGGAAGCCATGCAGGCCCCTTAGAACTTCCTGCATTCGGAGAGCCTGTCTTTGTATATTATGTCTTCAGTTGTTGGCGATTTTATTTCACATTGAAGCTTTTGCTCATTTTTCAAAATCCCCCATGGATGTAACATCTCAACAGTGACATGCATGATATGGCCTAGGTTTCAATATCGTGACTTCATAGGACTTCAGAGACTACAGTGTCACAGTAAGCAGTTTTCCCCTTTTATGGCTTTACATAGTAAGGCTCTGCTAGTGACTGTAAGTAAATTGTCTGAACCAGTTGTTTTGAAGACAGTGTAAAAGGGGTGCAAGACTACATGTGATGCAGTGTCAGATTCCTAGACTTACCTGATTTATAAATAAAAGCACCAATATTTGATTAATTTCAGAATAGAATCTGTTAAAGAATTGAGCTAGGCAAGGTGACTAAGCCTGAAATTCCAGCCTCTAAAAAGCTGAGACAGGATTACTGAGAGTCTGAAGCCAGGCTGGGCTACAAAATGAGACCCTCTCTCAAAACAACCATATAACTGAATTCAGTCCATAGCTGTGTACTGAAAACAGGTAAGTGTCCTAGTTTGCCGTCATTCGTCCTCTCGGCACCTTCCTGATGGTTTCTTGTCATATGCTTGAAAGTCAGCTGCAAGGTGATATGAGAGAGGATAGAATATACATTTATAAAAAGAAGTGGTTTTACAGTCATGGCACATGATTTTTATCTTGTTATCCACCCTTAGCGCAAGAATAGTTTTAAGCCAGGCAGTAGTGGTGCATGCGTTTAGTCCCATCACTTGAGAAGCAGAGGTAGGCAGATTTCTGTGAGTTTGAAGCCAGCCTGGTTTACAGAGTAAGTTCCAGGACAGCCAGAGCAGCTACAAGAGAACCTTGTGTTGAAAACTTAATAAATAAATAAATAAATAAATAAATAAATAAATAAATAAATAAATAAAAAGTTTTGAAAGCAGCAAAGTATCATGTCAAATAAATTTATAATTTACATTTTTTCCCCATGTTTCTAGGTGTATGTGTGTACAACTTGTGGAATTTGGTTGTTTTCACTGGGTGGATCCAGAGGATCAAACTCCAGCTGTCAGGCATGGCAGTTAGGTGCCTGCTGAGCCATCTTGCTGGCCTACATAATCTTTTTTTTCCCCCTCAGTTTTTGAGACAGGCTCTATGTAGTGCTGGCTGTCCTGTAACTCAGAGATCCACCTGCCTCTGCCTCCCAGATGCTGGGATTAAAGGTGTGCACCATGACATCCAGCCGCAAATAATTCTTGATACTAATGCAAACACATACTCAGAAAATCGTTCCCAAACAGGCAGTCAACAGAATCAGGACGAGTGGGGCTGCCGACTTGTTGTAATATGATCGGCGGGGCTGCATCCCCAGCACCCGGCCGCCTGCTAGCTTATGCCCCGAAATAATTACATGGATACTGTATTCTTTTAAGCACTGCTTGGCCCATTATATCTAGCCTCTTCTCGGCTAACTCTCGCACCTGGACTAGCCCATTTCTAATAATGTGTGTAGCACCCCAAGGTGTGCTTACTGGGAAGATTCTAGCCTACGTCCATCCTGGGTTGGAGTTCATTGCATCTGTCTCAGAGAACAGGGCTATCGCATCTGCCTGGGAGAGGGGAGCATGGTGTCTCTGAGCTCACTTCCTCTTCCTCCCAGCATTCTATTCTGTTTACTCCACCCACCTATGTTCTAACCAATAAAATGGGCCAAGGCAGTTTGTTTATTACCAATGACCTTACTCCATCACCGACTTACTTAAATAAGAGAAGATTCCCGTAGTGCTCAGTGGTGACTTAGAGAACTTAACAATGTCACATGGAGTGTGTAGCCTCAGCACTGCAGTTCCAGAAGCCCAGCTGTCAGGATTCCCAAATGATACATGTCTCAAAACAACCCAAAGAATCAGCAGACACTTGGAAAATATTAATAAACAAAGTTTATGAACTATTACTACAAAGAACTTTAGCAACGGGAGAGAGTTTATGATCCTTGAGTAAACGTTTTTTAGCGTAACAGTCTTTCAGACACAGATAGAGCTGTTGATGCCTTGCTCCGTGTTTGCTGACAGGCACTAGACCAAGGCCATGGAAATACGTGTTCTTAAAGCATTTCCACAGGAAATGTTCATACTTCAGGATATTCTAAATCATTTAGCAATTACATATGCTACATGAACTAAACACAGGTATTCTTTATTGCACATTTCAAAGTTGGAAGGACACTAGCTTAAGAGGTGATTTTTACTTAGAAGGGAAAATAATATTTTTTGTTTGGCTCAAAAATGCAGACTGCCAAGGCAGCTTAGTACTAAAAAAAAAAAAAACAACAACAACAAAAAAAAAAACCTTTCAGGTTTTGAAGCCAATGAAATCCTTTGCTGTAATGAATTATGCACTGTCCACTTTCTCTCTTGAGTCATGATGGAGGTCAAAGTTAGGGGCTGGGTTTTGAAGCCTGTGAATGGTCCTGGACACTGCTTGAAGAAGCAGGTGGGGCTTCCTCTCTTGGGCCAGAAGGCAGTGAGTCTCTTGCAGCAGGTGGTGGCAGTGGGTAGTCCTGAGGACCATGAGTTGGAGGTGGTAATCGAGTACCAGGAGGAATAAAGAAGTCTCTTGGACCAAGTGAACCTGGAGGTCTAAATGGTGTATGCCCTGGTAAAAACTCCCGAGGATCAACAGGCAGGTCCCGTTTCCCAGGCAGAACAACTGGTGCGTATTCTCTTATGCCCACTGGTGGGCGCATGCCTGCAACTAGAACACAAGAGCCATGTAAGTGAGCAATCATCCCAAGTGCAATAACATACTTACTAATTTTTTAGCCATAGAAAGTCAAGTGACTTTCTCACTGACTTTAAGGCAAGTAAGACTTAGCAAGTTTAGTCTGTAGCCACTAAGCAAAGGACCGGTTTAAACACTACTCTGCCTAATTCCAAGTTTCCTTTTCACTCTGCAATTTCAGAACAACTCCACTCAGAATAACAGCCATACCAGGAGGATAGTGAAAACACAGATTCACTGTGAAACACACATTCACTGCAACCACGTTGGTAAAGGAGATGTTACTGCCTACCACAGTGTCAACTGAAAGTTCATGTGGCCAAAATACATTAAGGAGCTGGACTCAAATTGATCTACGTTGACTAGGTTGCTATGATATTCTCTGTAACACCTCTCTTCTATCTAGTCCCAGTGAGAAGGGATTGTTTAGCTTTCCTGTCTATATTCTATGACCAGTGTGGCTTATGCTTCTGTTTGTATCTGTGACGTACAGGGTGTAATGGCATGTGTCACCATCTTTTCCAAACATAATATGTAGCACCTGCAGAGAGAACATTACTGGCTTCCCTAAGTGATCCCTTACCTTGTCTAACCACGCCCAACTCAGTTTAGAGAGATTAAATAGTAGCTAGATGTGCTCAGAAGCTTGAGGATAGGGTACAATGTGCTCGCAGTTTTATCCTCACCTAGAAAGGTCTATGGTAGCAACTACTTTAGCAAGGAACAGAAAGGATGAGCATGTTTTACAAGTCAATCAATACTGTTCAGATTATCTTACCAAATGGTGGAGGAACTGGCCGAGGCCCAAAAGGCCCACATAACTGAGGAGGTGGTCCATATCGAATGGGTGGTGGTATAGGGCCTCCCAAAGGGCCACCCAAGAGAGGCACCCCTGGAAACGGAGGGGGCCCTTTGGGAGCCATGTTAACCTGTAGAAAAGAAGCAATCAGAGTTTGGAAATGCTTTTATATGATAAAGTATCAAGACTAGCAAACTGGCACCTGTCCAAAGAATTGTCAGCGTAACACCACCCCCTACCCCACATTGCCCATGACAACTGGAGAGGTGAGAAGGATGCTGCAAGCAGTGACTCGAGTCACCGCTTAATAGCTGCACAGGAACGGGAAAAGCCAGAGGACTACCAGCTTTATAGGAAGTGACTGTGACACACCCTACCCATGCCATACCCACTGCAATCCATATTAAAAGAAGTACTTATCACTGTGATTCCATATGTGCATATTAGGAATAGAGGATAGAATGAAAATCCATTTTCTACACAAGCAGTAATCGCAACCACTCATGGTAGCATCAGTAGACCTTTGCCATAGTATCCAAATTCTCAGATCTCAGCCTGTGCTGACTATCTTGCTTTAAACATGAAAGGCAAGAGGAGTGGAGCTGATTTGCTGTAGGTCATACTGCATGCAGGAGGGCAAGGTGGAACTCAAATGCCAGGCTTTACTCCAAGGCTGTGCCGCTCCAAAGCCTCCATAATTTAAGTCTCCAGTCTCTGAACACATCCCTGGGACCCTGTGCTCCATTTCACAATATTTCCCGTTTTATGTTTGTAATTAGAAAGATGGTGCTCCAGTAATGACCCTCACTGGCTGGCAACACTTCAGGACAGGAATTTTCATGTTAATGTAGCACAGAAGGCTGAGTAACTGCAACAGCCACACATGTCACAAAAGTAAGCACTTTGTGAATACCGAACTTGTACAGCCATGGCTCAGGGCCAGATCAACAGATGCTACACGTTTCTTTTCGTAAGCAATCTAATTTCCTATCATTCAAGACAGTTTGCCAGGTACACAGATGTAGGGGTTTCTCAATGGCACAGTTTCAAGCAGATAAGACGAGTAATGTGATTTACAGTGAGTTTATTTTACTCACAAGAGTTTTCAGCACAAAGCGCACAGCATAAGTTGTACTGATGGTTTTTCACTCTGAGTAATGGCTGCAGCAAATGCTCTACTGATTAGTAACTTAGGACACCAACAACCAACCACTCTGGCTCAGTGACACTCCAAAGTCAAGGAGAACTGAAGTGATACTGCTACTAGATAGATGGTGAGCAAGATGAGTACCATGCTTTCATAAACTTTCT